TGGGGTAAGGAGTTCCAGAGGATGGGAGAGACTCTAGGGAAGTCCTGGAGGCGAGCATGGGAGGAGTTGACAAGGGAGCTGGAAAGCAGGAGGTCTTTTGAAGAGCGGAGGGGACGGTTAGGGTGATACTTTTGATTTGAGATATAGCCGGGGGCAGAGTTGTGGATGGCTTTCTAAGTCATTGTTAATATTTTGAATTTTATCCTGGAGTGGAAGCCAGTGGAGGGATCGGCAGAGTGGGGTGGGGGATGGAGACCAGTAGAGGGATTGGCAGAGGGTGGTTGCAGACACTGAGCGGTTGATTCTCATTATATATATATATAAATATTTATTTATATTATTTATATTTTAGATGCATTTATAAACAACAACAAAAAAGCAAAAAACAATTCCAGCATGCAAAAAACGTTTTGTCCTGATCCCGATCTTGGCATATAAACGGCCGGCTAATAAACATAAAATAAAATGTTGAGAAGATCAGAATTCTATAGAAGACAAGACTGACGAGAAATGACGGCCTGCGCGCATACAGCATTCTGCGATCATCTACAAAGGCGGGCAATTACCCCCCCAAAAAACACCCCTCGTCCTGACTCCTGCGGCATCCGCGTTATCATTATCCCCCGGACAAAAACTCCATCCAAGTCAATGAAGGGCAGTGTCACAAGGAGGTGACTTCTAATTCACATGGAGAAGCTGAATTGTTTTAGAGTATTCTTAACAGAGGATAAAAGGCGGATTGTGTCGATTGTTTTTGAACACAAGGCATTGTCCCGTCCTCTGCATTGCTTCTGTCACTCTTTTGTGACCTTCTCTGCCACATAGAAAGTTTGGCACAAGGTATTAAATGGGACTCTGCGTTGGCGGGTGAGTGGACACCCCCCACCACCACTAACACATATCTTATATTGTAAAGCGCTGCGCCAACTGTTGTCGCTATATAAATCCTGTATTATAATATTATACATAATATTAAGAGAATTAAATTATCCCGGTGGGCAACCCAAGTTCCCGAGAAAAAGCTTTCATCCTCCATGTTGATGGTGATTGTAGCCGTATTAGCGCACTTGTGATCTTTTTTTTTTGTTCATTTGCGGTAACAGTTACAGGATAACTTTGTGTATCAGTACCGCTTGGACCAAGAAGAAGGTGGTAGTGGCCCCCCCCAGGACACGTGTCTTGAACATGTAACTGTAACCACCATGTTTATTCTCAGGATACTCATCGGGAATGAAGTTTGTTAGGTAATAATTACTTTTGTGCAAGACAATCATGGAAGTCGAGATGTGCGTAAGGACTTCAGCAGGCTTTATCTTGGGATCTGGTGATGGTTCTGACAACTGGTCTTCAGTGAAGGAACTCGACTTTGGGTTTTATTCACCATGTAGGTTCTCTTGAACCTCAAGGTGCATTTCCTCCATGGTAGAAAGACATACAACGAGGACTTTTGGTGGACAAAGTCATTCTATACCGGAAACCATTTTATGGTATAGCTGGCAGTAGTTGGTCACGTTCAGTTGGACTTGTTCTATAACGTTGAAGATGCTTTGTAGCTTCTATAACACACTTCTTCAGATCAGAACAGAACAGAGGAAGCTAGGAGACGTCTTCAACATTCTTGAACAAGTCTAATTGAATGTGACCAACTACTACAAGTTCTACCACGGCCCAGATAAAGGAGAACCTTCACAGACATTTTTATGGTAAAAGACTTCCAACCACCCTCATCAAATATTGATCATGACATAATGATCACGCTCTGATCTTCGCACATACATAGAGAAGTAGACTTCAATTATGGTCTGTGCTGAATGATCTGTGATACCTTAAAGCTGAGAGAACTGGAGCTCATAGTCCCACCACAGAATATGATCTCTACAAACTCAGAGCTCCGAGTCAGAGTTTTCGGGGGATCGTAGTTTCTTCGAATTTTCCTACTCGAAACCCCCAGTTCTTAGGACGTCCTCGTGGAATATCTGACTCGGGAACTAGTATGTACTGTCCGTTCGATAGCACATGAACGCTAGACTGATAAAAAAAAAAGGTGATCCATGGTGATAATGAACATTCTAGTTCCTCAAAAAAGAAGTCATCCATTTCCTCTGCTGACCCAACTAGGGATTTAGGAACCTTTAGATCCAGAAGCACTAGAATCACCTCATCTATATACAAAGCAGCTGGAAAGCACCGAATATGTCATGTGCAGCGGAGATATCTCCAGGAACTGTTGGAGGGAGTGCAGCTTTGCGAACAAGCTGCAGCTGGGCAGCACATACCCCGAAGCCTGGGCAGTGTGCCACAGGTAGGTGCACGTTGGCACAGCCAAGCGCAGGGCGGATTAACGCTTGCTGGAAATGCCCTTACATAGGATCAGTAAATGAAATCTGCTGCAAACCTGGATGAGCAAATCTTGACTTTTTGTACTTGGCGCCCCTTACACCTCCAAGCTTCCCTTGGAACTGTGGCTCGCTGGTGGCCAATGAGGCCTTTCATTTGAGAGGTGATCTCATTGACCGGTAGGGGGGCGATGGTCCAAACTCGATTTTTATAGAAGTCGAAGATTTGCATGCAAAGTCAGCTGTATATACAGGTGTAACTCGAATAATTAGAATATCGTGCAAAGTTCATTTATTTCACTAATGCAACTTAAAAGGTGAAACTAATATATGAGAGAGACTCATTACATGCAAAGCGAGATAGTTCAAGCCGTGATTTGTCATCATTGTGATGATTATGGCTTACAGCTCATGAAAACCCCAAGAACCCCAAATCCACAACCTCAAACAAGTAGATTATTACATGCATTCAATAAAACAAGGATTGTACATAGAACAATATCGGACCTCTGAAAAGTACAAGCATGCATATGTACTCAGTACTTGGTTTGGGCCCCTTTTGCACCACTTACTGCAATTACTTTTGCACGATATTCTAATTATTCGAGTTTCACCTGTATGTCTCTGGATCTACTGATCATTTGACTTGTGGTTTTCATTTAAACTTACCTCTGCCCATGTATTGTTTCACACTTCGAGTTGTCTTGTCACAAGTTTACTTGAACCCGACAGGCAGATATGGATCTTTGTCTATGAACTCATGAAATGAGGCAAAGTGATTTGCACGCAGGAAGCACATGTACTGATCCTATAACTAGATCTAAACTATATAAACTTTCACAAATCCTTAAAGTGGCCCTTAGGCCTTGAAACTTTGAGAGTGCCAATAACTTGGGGCACATTTTGCATCACTTGGGGCAGAAGGCTGCTATATGAATTACCCAGAATAATCTATACATATAGAATGAGCCTTCACATACATAGTATATCAGCAGAGAACACTGAGGATTCATCTATCTGCTGGCAAACGGTTTCCATGAGTTATGTGGCCACTTACCTCTGGGTACAGGCAGATCCTGCCAGGTGTAACGGGTGATTCTTCAAGAGAGCCCTGAGCAGTCCAGTATCCAACATAAGCATGGGGGTCATCAGCAGGAAGGGGATCTGGAGAGGTCCATAGTCAGAACAATGTTCTCCACGATCCAGCATTCATCTCCTAGGGGGAGAGAACTGCCCAGCTGCAACAGTAGGACGGTCCAGAGGTGGCAAGAGAAACCAGAGATCCAGAGAAGTTCAACAGAGTCCTCAGGCGGAACTAAAGAATCCACAGAAGAGGTGCTGAGTCCTGAGAAGAATCCAGGGAAGGGATCTAGAATCCAAAAGGAGAGATGTGGAGTCCCAGCAAGGAGATGTAGAGAAGTGCGAAGTCCAAGCAAGTAGACGAGACTCCAGAGGAGATCAACTGAGTCCGGGGAGCAGATGCAGAGTCCAGACAAGGTCCTGGGAGCAGATACCGAGTCCAGAGATGCTCCAGAGACAAGATGCAAAGTCCAGACAAGGTCCAGGGAGCAGATACCGAGTCCAGGGAAGATCCAGGGAGCAAATGCAAAGTCCAGACAAGGTCCAGGGAGAAGATGCAAAGTCCAGTCCGGGGAAGAGATGTACAGCCAGAGAGAGAAGATGTAGACCTCGCAGGGAAGATGCACAGGGTCCAGGGAAGGGATGGAGAGCTCCTGTGGTCAGTGCCAAGTGTCAGGGCGCCCCCAGGGATCCGCTGGCTGGGCAGAGGACGCAGTGGGCAGCCCGGAGTCCCGGGGAAGAAGTTGCTTGCGGAGAGGAAAGTTTGGAGTCCTCCTCCCCCTGTGGAGCTGCTGCAGTCAGATGATCTGAGCCCATTACTTCAGCCCTGACTGATCTGTTTTCAATCTACCCCTCCTCCTCCTCCACTGCCCCTCCCCCAGCCTTGCTGCCTCCCCCCTCCCGGGACTGCCAGCATTTGCTGCTCCAGATGGGAAGGGGGCTCCTGACACCCGCTGGAGTGCGACCACTTAGGGGTTAATCTCCGAACATGACACCATTGCTGCCAAACTTTGCTCCCGGCTGTGCGGAGAGAGGTAACCCGGGGCAACACCCCTGCCCGAACCCTGGAGCGGATGTGAAATGTTACATTGTTATCCTCCCGCCTGTAACATGTAATAGATGACATGTTACAATGATATCCTCCCGCCTGTAACATGTAATAGATGACATGTTACATGGATATCCTCCCGCCTGTAACATGTAATATATGACGTTACATGGATATCCTCCCGCCTGTAACATGTAATAGATGACATGTTACATGGATATCCTCCCGCCTGTAACATGTAATAGATGATATGTTACATGGATATCCTCCTGCCTGTAACATGTAATAGATGATATGTTACATTGTTATCCTCCCGCCTGTAACATGTAATAGATAATATGTTACATGGATATCCTCCCACCTGTGACATGTGATAAATTATATGTTACATGGATATCCTCCTGCCTGTACAATGTAATAGTTGATATGTTACATTGATATCCTCCTGCCTGTAACATGTAATAAGTGATATGTTACATGGATATCCTCCTGCCTGTAACATGTAATAAGTGATATGTTACATGGATATCCTCCTGCCTGTAACATGTAATAGATGATATGTTAGATTGATATCCTCCTGCATGTAACATGTAATAGATGATATGTTACATTGATGTCCTCTTGAATGTAACATGTAATAGATGATATGTTACATGGATATCCTCCTGCCTGTAACATGTAATAGATGATATGTTAGATTGATATCCTCCTGCATGTAACATGTAATAGATGATATGTTACATTGATGTCCTCTTGAATGTAACATGTAATAGATGATATGTTAGATGGATATCCTCCTGTACCATACATGATAGAAGAGTGATGGCAGAAAAAGATTTAGGGTCTATTCACACCTGAACGCATGTATGAACGCAGTTGCATTGCGCTGAGTTTGTGTCATGCGTTGTAATGCGTTTGTCACTTTTTTAAATGTATTTTTTTTTTGCTCTATACACTTTATTCAGTCAGCTTGTCACTTCCTGTGAGATCACATCCTTCTTTGTTCATTATTTGTTCATCGCCTTGCGCTGACGCGCGCTGGTGTGAGCTGACCTAATTTCACTGCTTTTTTGAGCGCTATGTGTTGGGAATGCGTTGAGGAACACGTCCCAAGGCACGGTGTGAATGAACCCAAGTGGTCCATCAGGTCCACTTCTCTTCCGTTTCTTATTTCTTGTCTGTGTATTGATGGATTTCAGTCCACAGCATGCGAAGCTTCCGTTACTGCTGACTGACCACCTCTGCTGTAAGTCTGTTCTCAGCATCCACTACCCTTTCTGTAAATCAATAGATTCTCCAGTCACTTGTGTACTTTCCTCCTGCTAATTGGAGGTCACGTCCCATGTACTTGATCTTCAAAATATCACCTTCCTGGACCTTATCCATGCCCTTCATAAGCATGTCCCCCCTTCCCCATCAGTCCTCCAGGCTGTACATATGAGGTTCCTGCAGTCTCTCCTGATGATGTTTTATCCCTCAGACCTGCCACCATTTTTGTTGCTCATCTCTGGACTTGTTCTCACTTATTAATATCTTTTAGGATAGTGAGATCTCCAGAACTGGACACAGTGTTCTAAATGAGGTCCAAAAAAGATCTATATGGAGGGATCAGGACCTCCTTCCTCCTGCTGGGGACCCCTCTAGTGATAATAAAGATCTATATAGAGGGATCAGGACCTCCTTCCTCCTGCTGGGGACCCCTCTAGTGATAATAAAGATCTATATAGAGGGATCAGGACCTCCTTCCTCCTGCTGGGACCCCTCTAGTGACAACTAAAGATCTATATAGAGGGATCAGGACCTCCTTCCTCCTGCTGGGGATCCCTCTAGTGATAATAAAGATCTATATAGAGGGATCAGGACCTCCTTCCTCCTGCTGGGGACCCCTCTATTGATAATAAAGATCTATATAGAGGGATCAGGACCTCCTTCCTCCTGCTGGAGACCCCTCTAGTGATAATAAAGATCTATATAGAGGGATCAGGACCTCCTTCCTCCTGCCGGGGACCCCTCTAGTGATAATAAACATCTATATAGAGGGATCAGGACCTCCTTGCTCCTGCTGGGGATCCCTCTAGTGATAATAAAGATCTATATAGGGGAATCAGGACCTCCTTGCTCCTGCTGGGGATCCCTCTAGTGAAACACTACATGTGGCCATGCTTGCGTACATTGCCCGGTCATGGTCCACAGTTGTCATTATCGGAAAGCCATTCTAGAGCAGTAACGTGCAGCCAAGGATGGAACGAGTGAATGAAAACAGGAAGGGGCTGTAGGAAACTGGAGGAGATCAGCAGAAACGAGATGTAATAAAGGTGGAAAAAGTGAAAACGATATATTATGTAAAAGAAGATGCGATTGCGTATGATACAGAGCTTCTTAGCAAGTTACACGGCATCTAGTCAATGATTACATCTACGTGATTAAAGATGAAAGCTTCCAAAACAATTATAATGCCAAATATAATAACCAACAAAGAAGAACAATGTGTTTGAAAACCGTGCTGAGGGATATTAGAGTGTAAGCTCCTCTGTACAGAGACTGATGTGACTGTGGGGGGGAGGGGACATTAGAGTGTAAGCTCCTCTGTACAGAGACTGATGTGACTGTGGGGGGGAGGGGACATTAGAGTGTAAGCTCCTCTGTACAGAGACTGATGTGACTGTGGGGGGGAGGGGACATTAGAGTGTAAGCTCCTCTGTACAGAGACTGATGTGACTGTGGGGGGGAGGGGACATTAGAGTGTAAGCTCCTCTGTACAGAGACTGATGTGACTGTGGGGGGGAGGGGACATTAGAGTGTAAGCTCCTCTGTACAGAGACTGATGTGACTGTGGGGGGGAGGGGACATTAGAGTGTAAGCTCCTCTGTACAGAGACTGATGTGACTGTGGGGGGGAGGGGACATTAGAGTGTAAGCTCCTCTGTACAGAGACTGATGTGACTGTGGGGGGGAGGGGACATTAGAGTGTAAGCTCCTCTGTACAGAGACTGATGTGACTGTGGGGGGGAGGGGACATTAGAGTGTAAGCTCCTCTGTACAGAGACTGATGTGACTGTGGGGGGGAGGGGACATTAGAGTGTAAGCTCCTCTGTACAGAGACTGATGTGACTGTGGGGGGGAGGGGACATTAGAGTGTAAGCTCCTCTGTACAGAGACTGATGTGACTGTGGGGGGGAGGGGACATTAGAGTGTAAGCTCCTCTGTACAGAGACTGATGTGACTGTGGGGGGGAGGGGACATTAGAGTGTAAGCTCCTCTGTACAGAGACTGATGTGACTGTGGGGGGGAGGGGACATTAGAGTGTAAGCTCCTCTGTACAGAGACTGATGTGACTGTGGGGGGGAGGGGACATTAGAGTGTAAGCTCCTCTGTACAGAGACTGATGTGACTGTGGGGGGGAGGGGACATTAGAGTGTAAGCTCCTCTGTACAGAGACTGATGTGACTGTGGGGGGGAGGGGACATTAGAGTGTAAGCTCCTCTGTACAGAGACTGATGTGACTGTGGGGGGGTACATTCGAGTGTAAGCTCCCTAGCACAGAGACTGATGTGACTGGTCCTAGGTGCTCTGTATGCTGCTGTGTCATAAAGAAAGGGTTTCAGAAGTTAACACTCAGCGCTTGCGGGAGGCTCCAAGTTCCTTCCGTCCTGACAACCCCTCTGAGCTCTGTCAGATTTGTACGATTGCGCAGAGCGCCATCCGGTGGGGAGAGTCCAGCTAACATCTCACCTTTAACCATCAACTGAAATGTATAACAATATACACAATATGGATAATTCTGGTCATCTTCTAGTTTTAGGTTGGGACTAAACACCCCATTCTCACCCTCTGTGCTTCATTATGCTGCCTCAGTCTTTTAGAGGTTTTTAAAAAAGTCTATCTACCCAAAACTGATGGAAGAAAGTGGAGGGTAAAACCCCCGACTCTCTTCAATTGGGGACTTTTCCTGAGATTTCTGTGCTGAGTTCCCGGGTCTCTACACCCGCTGTGCCCATTATGAGGAGCCCCC